AGCCATGCCCAGTTCCAGCAACCGTTCTTCATATGTTTTAGCTTATTTAGTATCCTGTGACTATCGCTAAGTGTTGTATCTTATGATTCTTGATGAATGTATTTTTTTATGTACTGAGAGCATGTGCACCAAAGACAAATTCCTTGTGTGTCCAATCACTCTTGGCAAATAAAGAATTCTGTTCTATTCTATTCTATTCCTAATTCTTTATTCTATTCTTTTCCATTCCATTCCTCTATTCTATTCTATACTATTTTCCATTCCATTCCTCTATTCCTTCTTTCCTTATTCTATTCTATTTATTCCATTCCATTCAATTCCATTCTATTCTACCCTATCCCATCCCATCCCGATTTCTATTCTGTATTTTCTATTTTCTTTTCTTTTCTATTCTTTTCTATTCTATTCTCTGTTTTGTTTACATCAACGGGAAAGACAGAACTGATCGCTAGCCCACTGCCACCCTGGCAAAGGATAATGGAAGATGTAGTCCTACATATTTAATCTGGAAGGCAGCTAAGGTTCCAGCTGGACTTGGCAAAGGCAGTTATTTTGACCGGTTTTCATTCGGAATCAATCCACCCAAAACCGAGATCTGACTAAAAAGGCAGGCCCTTCATCCCTTCCGTTGATAAGGAAGCCAAAAGGCAGCGACACAAAGACACAGAATTATAATGATGCTGTTCCAGGAAATCGGCAGGGTGTGAAGCCCATGTGATGGGAGGGCAGGGAGGGGAGGGAGATGATGGGGCTTCTGATCCTCCTTATTTCCCCCCTCCCTGCCGTTTGATGAATATAATTTCCCATGGAGCCTTCTAAAGATTATTCTGCAGGCAGCTCAGAACTCTTTGCCGAGTGGATTGGCTTTTTTTTGTTTTGTTTAAAAAAGTGTTTTCAATGTGGGCAGAATGGTGGAATCTGACAGCCGGAAGGCCTTGGAAAAAAAAAGCTTGCTGGATTGAACATGGTCTATTATGCTTTGCCAGGTGGGAGGCCGTAATCAGAAGAAAGGTTCACACAACCCCTGTTCGTGGCCTGTATTTCTTGTCCCAGCAAGCCTGTATTGTGGCCTGCCAGCAGCCAGCATATCTGGCAGCAGATTCAGACAGTGAGAAGGTCGGGGAGGAACATGGGCCAGTCCTGGAGTCTGGGGAAGGCTTTGATGGGGGCTCTGCATTGGAGGCAGAGAGGGAGGCCAGGGCCATCTGCGATCTGCGCAGATCGGCGGCCGCCTTGCCTTGTTTACTGATCGCTGGAGTCGCATCACCTCTGATACATGGGTTCTGCAGACAGTTGAGTTTGGTTTAAAGTTAGAGTTTCGTTCCCATCCCCCGAATAGGTTCCATCTTTTCCCCTCCTCAAAGAATCCAGCAAAGCGTTCCCTTATGCGCAAAGCCATCCGACATTTCCTTGTCATCAGGGAGGTGGAGTTAATTCCGGAGGGGGAGAAGGGTCAAGGATTCTATTCCAACCTGTTCGTAATTCCTAAAAGTTCACGGGGTGGTGGGGTGGGGTGGAGGGCTATTTTAGACCTCAAATTGTTGAATTCCAGACTGGCCTATAAAAAGTTTAAGATGGCTTCACTCAAATCCATCCTAGAGGGGATCAGACAGGGTGACTTCCTAGCATCCATAGATCTCACGGAGGCATACCTGCACATCGTGATTGCTCTGGACCACCATAAATTCCTTAGGTTTTTGTATGGGAGGGTGCATTACCAATGCAGGGCCCTTCCCTTCAGTTTGGCATCTGCTCCCAGGATCTTCACCAAGGTGTTAGCTGTAGCAACAGCCGATCTCTGGTCCTCCCCAGTCTGGTTGCATTGCTACCTAGATGACATCCTCATGTTGGCCACAACGGCAGACTGGGTGGAGAGTGACCTGGATCGTACAATTGCCACCCTGCAGTCCCTGGGGTTCTCGATTAACCTCG